TATTCGATATACTCGTAGCATAGTATGATGGTTGAGATGTTATGTACGTACGTACGAATATTGCAGTGATGAGATGCGGAGGAACAGGAACTTTCTACATATTTTCCTTGGTTGTGAGAGGCTTTTGGTGAGGATTCAGAGAGATTCGTTGTGTGAGAAAGCATGAAGGCGTGACTCGATACCGTGATGGTTTGACGAGCACGAGCACGCCCCCGATTAATACAACAAATACAACACGGCAACACGGGTACAACACGTTTTTCCACACGTCTGCACGACGTTTCCTACCCCTACGGCCCGTAATGGCCGAGCTGCTCTACACTCCCATCGCACACAACTGAGCCACCCGAATTATCGATCAGGAGATGCGCATCGCTACCGGAAGCGAGGAAGGCGTGAACCCCTCGCTGAGGTGGAGGAGAGCATAGAAAAAGCACTCTCGACGCTCTGAACCCCCGGAAGCTCTCACATAGGCACTGCAGCGAACCTACAGTTGTGGGCACATGCTGTACGCAGTGTACCTAGTCTAGCATGCAGGGGAGTGTGCTGGTGCTGCACAAAGGGTGTGCTTCTCCCCATGCTTCTCCCCATGTTGGTGTCCAGCAACATTATCACACGTGTTCCCCATCTAGGCGCTGCCAAAGCTGAAGGAATGGTTGTATCATAAAGACGCATACGCGGCTGTGTCGTATCGTGATGTGTGTAGGCAATTGTTGTACAACTGCTCTGCTGTACGGTACTGTTGCTGCTTAGAGTATGCATTTGTATGTCCTGACCGCAACTACCGCTGACAGACCTCCTCCAGTGAGTATCACCTGGACTGCCGTTCTCTCCGACGCGGTGTGCAGTGAGGGCGCTCCTGGAATCATGGCATGACGCCTATACATGGTGGGCACGGTACTCATATATCCGCAAAAGATTAAACCCAGTCACACAACAATAAACTCATATCCGCCAAGACTCCACCCAGCACAACAACCAGCAACAGCAGCAAAAAAAAACGTGATTGATTCTGTTTTTTGTATATTTTACGTTATCTTTTTTCAAGAAAAATGACGGCCGACGGTCGACGACGTGCTGCGAGTAATTAATTAACATGATTGAGGTTGTGATTGTAAAAATTTAAGGGCGGTGTTCAAAGAAATACTTCCCAAAGCTTACCAGTGATCGATCGAACTGTCAGCAGGGTAACATAAACGTCAAACAACATGTACTTAGGATGGCACCTTCTGTGCAGCACCGTTGGCGTCGTTGTTCATTAATTGAAGTCGAAAATTGTTGGCCCGAAGAAGATTTATTCTTTTGCATTTTATATTTTCAGCCCTCAATGACATGTTCCGCGTTCGTACCCAGCCACTCATCATCCGCCGGCTCCTCTACCCCATCCTCTTTCTCATCCTCGGCAATAGCCTTGAGGTACTCTGCCACCGGATACACGAGGCTACCGATCGTGCAGCTCAGGTTTCCACCATAAAGGTTGATCCACTCGTTCATCTTGCCAATGGCATGTTCCACCAACATTCCACTAATGGCGGCCTTCCACCCTCCCTCCTGCCCGTCCCATTCCGTCTCTGTACTAACCTAGACGAGTTTCCTTCCAGATATCCAACATATTCTGCCCGTTCTTAACATGTATGCTCACGTAGATTTGCCGTGCTGCCAGCTAGATCGGCTAGAAAGCCGGCATGTACGGCGGTGTCCAAATTAACCGCCACCCCTTCTCCCTCATGTATGTCTCCGCCTTTTCGTCGAGCTTCTCTGGGAAGCGCTTTTTGAATAACCTCCGAGTGACGGACGCTATTTCTTGTATGCTGACGCCGTTCCTGCCGATCGCGTTGGGTAACGACCCCTCCGCCCGGACCTCAACGTTATACTCAAAAGCCTTACCCGCGGACTCACACGCCTCCTTGAACGACTCGCAACCGTCGTACTTCATACTGTTGCTTTCGGGCACCTTGAGTCCCTCGTCAAAGCAGTGGTGGTATGAGGCGTCGTCGAGAACCAGAAACATCTTCTTGTCCTCGAATTGCGCGTCGAAGGCCAAGGTAAGTCGGTGATTCAGCCCTTACATGAACATCCCATCCGTCATGGCGATATGATAATCGCAAGTTGCCAACTTGGCCTGCACAAAAACTCTCCCGTCTGCTCGACTGTTATTATTATGAAATCCACCTTCCCAGGCTGAGCCTTCTTCGCACGATATTCCATAGCCTTGAACCAACCTTCACGGATAGGAAATTCCTCCTGCATCTCGGTCAAGGGCCCGCGCTTCGTGATCGAATGTACCATAAGCATGCACCATGTTCATACACAATCCCTTCGCTGTTGTACGGCCTATCCCATCCTGCGCAACTCCCTTATCGTCAGAAGGCAAGTACGAGTACGTACGCGGAACCATGCGCCTGGTCAACAAAGCTCTCACCCATGTCCACGACGATGGCGACCCCAGCGTCCTCGGCCCTCTTCGCGAGGTCCATCATAACGAGAAAGAGACGAAAGCGGTTTTTCCTCTCCTCGTTCAACAGAGGTATCTTGGTCCTACTCCTAGGGCGCTGAAGCCAAGGCGCTGCAGCAACCCTCCCACCGCACGATCCGGCATCCCCAACCCGCATGAACACTATCCTGGACGGTACGGCGGAAGACCTGGCGTCCTGCCTCGTGCTCGCCCATGATCGACTCGCGCAGTCCGTCCTCTTGCTCCTTCGTGAGGGCCCGTCACTCGTCGTCTTCACCGGAGACCTTGCCTCTGATCGATAATTCGGGTGGCTCAGTTGTGGGTGATGGGAGTGTAGAGCAGCTCGGCCATGACGGGCCGTAGGGGTATGTAAAGTCGTACAGACGTGTGGAAAAACGTGTTGTATAACGTGTTGTATACGTGTCGTATTAATCGGGGGCGTGCTTGAGCTCGTCATTCCATCACGGCATCAAGTCACGCATAACGCTTAAACACCCAAAACGAATCCTCATGAATCTCCACCAATCTACCACACTCCCAAGGAAAACATAAAGAAACTTCTTGTTCCTCCGTAGTTCGTCACTGCAATTCCCGCATATGTATACTCAANCAAATACCATACCAACACACGCCAATCACTCTCGCTCTCTTCTGAAAATTCTCAACTCAAACTCTTTTCATCCAGAAAAATATGACGAACGCCGTTCAAGACGCCTTTCCTTTCACCGCCAATTCGTCACAATATCTCGGTGCGTCTCTAAATCCACCTAGCTAGATACCAAGATGTATGCAATCCTAAGACAAATTATTCCATTCATCCACCAAACCTTCGTCCGCAGGTAAAACGCGAAGAAGTATTATCTCCCTGAAATACTCAAAATATATCAGTAATGTTCGATGAAGAAATGTCACCAACGCCATTTCGTTTGAAAGAATATAACGTGCCCCCCTGCTCCGAGGATCCGCCCCCCTGCTTTGTGAAGGGGTCGGAGTCAAGCCGAAAAACAATACGAGAGGTGCCGAAAATCATAACAGTACTTCTGATCCTCTCATCCACACTTCAATCAGATCTGAAAAACCAAACCCAAGCTCAAATCAAACAAAACAAACGCCAAATCTCAAACTAACTCAAATTCAAGATGAACCTCAATGCGCCTACTTTTCCAGCCATAATCCCCAGCGCATTGGACCACTGCCCCTGCCATTGTTTCTCCCCCGCAGATTTTCGCTCGCCTCCGCCGCGGTCGCCTGCTGTGCTCTTCGTCCGGCTGGCCGCGGCTGGAGCATCGTCAGCAAATCGTCCGCCTTCGTTGGGGGAGACCACAATTAATTGTCGCTCCAGAAGGATTGACTCGGCAGCGGTGGAGGGCAGGTCGCGCGTTCGGAAGTGAAGGTGGTGGCACAATCAGTTCCTCATAAAACAGCACTCCTGAGGAGAATCAC